ACAGAATCACCATCAACAGCCCAAAGTTTATTCCTATGAGGCCAGACATGTGGTCACCCTCCAGCCTTTTACCAATTCTGATACCAACTGTCTCTCCCATGCCACTCACTACTTCTCTGCTGGATTTGATAAATCCTTGCAATGGCCACACAAAACTCACAGACAATACTCAACATTATGGAGTTTATTAGGGAAGTAACAGGCTATAATTCAGGTTCAGGAATGTTCTCAGGATACAATTCTTTGATCAGGACAGTCTCCCCTCTGCTGTGCCTTCAGGCATGCCTCTCTGGCCCTTGGCCTCTCTGGCCCTTGGCCTCTCAGCCTAACCTCTGCCCTGCTTGGGCAAATGTTACAAAGCTCTTTCAGCTCTGTCAATAGGTACACCTAGGTGCACCCCACTCTATCAGCAAGCCTCCTGCCCAAGGGTACTCAGCCTTCTTGCTCTGTGGGCCAGGTAAACCAGCCATTCTGTTTCATGCCTCTTGGTTCCACTGTGACTACCTCTCTCTGCCAGGGCATCTCTCTCTCTCTCTCTGCCAAGTAATTCACTACACCACACTTGTTGATAATGTAAATAAGGTGCTTGGCATTCTTGTGGGTGTAAGGCCATGGAAATAAGGTACATGGAACCCTAAAGTGGGGATTGGTCAGTTTTGCCATCTCGCTAAGCTTAAAATGAGCCATGCCAGAGGTGGAAAGAGGGGAATTTCATTACCATCAAGAAAGAGCCAGGAGTGGAGTTTGTTGTAATAACCCAAGATCGCTGTGCTGAACCTCCTCAATCCAGGAAACAGAGAGCTACGTATGACCTCAGAGATGACAAAGATGCAGTGATAGAGAAACAGCAGCAACAGAGGCAGCAGAACCAAGAGACCACCAAGAGAGAGTGATGGGCCTCCTGGACCATGGAGCAAAAAAGCTGAGGCCCTTCAGGCAGCAGGTGTGCTGACCAAGCGGGATGCTACTCTGAGCACCTATCAGCAGAGCTAAAAGAGCTTTTTAACACTTTTGCAAGCAGTGCTTAGACAAGGGCCAGAGAGAGACCTGCCTTTGGGCACAGCTGAAGGGAGGCTCTCCTGATCGAAAAACTGTATCCTGAAGTATTCATGATCCTGAATTGTAACTAGTTAGTTGTCTTAACCCCATAATCATGAGTACTGTCTGTGAGTTCTGTGTGGCCATCACAATGAATTATCAACCCCAGCAGAGAAGTAGAAAGTGCTGTGGGAGGGATGGTTGATGTCAGAACCAGTAAAAAGGTTGGAGGGTGGTGGTATGTGTGACCTCCACCTCATAGGAATGGGCCTTGGCCTGCTGAGGTTGATCCTTCTCTCCGCTTGTAAAGTTAGAGGTCAGAGGCTACCTCCAAGCCCTTTTGTCAAGAGTGTTTTCCATCATCACAAAAAGTTCTATCAGACAGTGCTGGTCTACAGTACATAAAACATGTCATTTCCCCACAATCATGGGTACAGCTACAGCCCAGAGAACCCTGACAGGAATTAGTATTACATCATCTAGGGTTTGCATTACACACAATTCCACCTTCAGCAATATTTAGCAATATTTTGCAGTGGTTACGTACTAGGTTTTTGGGGTAGAATAGTTCTGGATTTCAATTTTAGCTCCAGTTTACTAAATTATGTGTGTGACCTTAGGCATGTTACCTCACTTCTCTGTGCCCATTTTCTCATTTAAAAAAATGGACAATTGTACCTACCTCATAGAATTGATATGAGGATTAAATGAGATAAACCCATGTAAAGCCCCTCGCCCAATATATGGCATCTATGATCTGCAGATGCTAGTTATTATTAGCATTATTCTTTAAGCCTAGAAGATGAACTTGGCTTGCTCTAGGACCTAGAATCTATGTAACCAGTATAAATGGCAATAGGGAACATACAATAGTATGAGCAGCAAGGGAGTCAAACTCAAAGAGGACCCCTTTTGACTTTCCATGGACATAAGTGGTAACTATATAATTTCTCCAAAATTTGAGGCCAGCAACAAAGAAGGAGATACCTTCTCCCCTAAAGATCTATTTGGCTTGCCAAAGCTCTCAAAAAGTCAAAGGTAAAAGTACCTTAGTCCTGGCCTAACATGACTTAGAATTAAAAGTTAACCATCATGTCATATCAAACAAAAGAAAAGATACAATAGCAAAATGTACTGTCTATAAAAGATTACCCAAAGAAGTCAGTCAGTAGGAGAGGACTTGGAATTGTTTTTCCAGCTGTTTCTAACAATCAGATCAAATTCCTTGATGTATTATTAAGGTAAAATATCACTATGCCCAATTATCCATGAAGAACACAACAGGCCTACTTTACCTCTGTAATCAACTGGATATTTATTGAACATCTACCACACATGAGACAATTTTGTTCTACACCAGGAGCCAACAAACTACAGCTAGCAGGCCATATTCACCCACCTCCTGTTTTCATACTGTAAGCAAGGTAAGCATAATTTTTACACTTTTAAATGATTACAGGAATATCCCACAAGCACTATTATCTAACCCTAAATGGCTTTGGAAATCAGCTTTTGCTGAAGAATCAATAAAGTCTCTTAATTCAACCTAAAGTTACAGGGCAGAAGAGTGCTTATATATGAAACTTATTCTGCAGTAGTCATTTCAACAACTAACATTGTTTAAATCACACATAAAGTCAACATGCCTTATGTATACCTCCCATACTGTCACTAGTCAAAACAACAAAACCACAATAAGATACCATTTCACACCCACTCAAACCCATTGCCGTGGAGTCCATTCTGACTCGTAAGGACCCTATAGGACAGAGCAGAACTACCCCCATAGGTTTTTCAAGACCATAAATCGTTATGGAAACTACCATGAACCTTTGGGTCCACAGCTGAGCACTTTAACTAGTGTGCCACCAGGGCTCCTTCACACCCACTAGAACAACTATTAAACAAAGACATTAACTAGTATTGCTAAAGAAATAAATTTGAACCCTCATACATTGTTGGTGGAAAGGTAGAATGATACAGCCAATTTGGTAAAGAGTCTGGCATTTCCTCAAAAAGTTAAACATAAATTTGTGATATGACCCAGAAATTCCACCTTTAGAGATCTACCTAAAAGAAATGAAAATACTTGTCCACACAGACTTACAAGCAAATGCTCTCCGCAGCATTGTTCACCAGCCACCAACAGCCAAAAGGTGAAGCATTCCCAAAGCCCATCAACTGATGAATGGCTAAAGTAAATGTGCTATATCCATACAATAGAATGCTATTCAGCAATTAAAATGAGGTATTAACATATGCAACAATAGGGAAGAAGCAAGAAGAACCTCAAAAACATACTAAATGAAAGAAACCAGACAGAAAACACTATAGATTGTATGGTTCCATTTATATAAAATGTCTAGAACAGGAATATTTGTAGGGACAGAAAGTAGATTAGTAGTCATTTACAGGGAAAGGAAGTAGTTTAGTAGTCCCCTAGGGCTGGGAGTGAGGATGGGGTTAACTGTAAACAGACATGAAGGATCTAATTGGGGCAATGAAAATGTTCTAAAATTGATTTATGATGACAGTTACACCACTCTGTAAAGTTACTAAAAATCACTGAATTGTATACTTGAAATGTGTGAATTTTATGATATGCAAAATATACTTCAATAATGCTGTTAAAAAATTTAAAATAGGGGAAATTGAGTGAGGGGTATATGGTAACGCTGTACTATCTTTGCAACTTCTCTATAAATCTAAAGCTATTCTAAATATTTAAAAATATATATTTAAATAAAACATTAAAATAAAAAAAAAAAACATAGCTTTGTGGCCTTCTATCAGTATGGCAGGAGCTCTGGTGGTGTAGTGCCTAAAGCATTAGGCTGCTAACCAGAAGACTGGCAGTTCAAACCCACCAGCTACTCCTCAGAAGGAAGGCTGGGCAATCTTTTTGGTATCTTTTAAAAAAAACATTTTCAAAGATGAAATATGTAAAATTTCATTAGAGATCAGCATTAACAGATGAACTTTTGGAAGTAATTTTTGTAATAGGGAACAATAACTTTGAACCCCAACTAAGCAAAATGTTATCCCTCAAAAAATAATTCCATTCTTCTCATTAGTAGTTCTGTATTTTTTAAAAAAGGAAAGTATTATTATATTTTAATTTTTTCAATAAATATTTCTTGAAATTAGTTTTCTTTCATGTTATATAAATACATACATAATCCCCTCGATTTTGCTTTTTTTTTTTTGGTCTGCAAAGCCTAAAACATTCACTCTCTGACTCTTTACAGAAAATGTTTACCAACCCCAGTTCTACACTATAACAGGATAAACATAATCAGTCTCTTTCTTGAGTGTATTTTTATCATTACCTAATTTGAGCACAATGCCCCTCCAGATACGCCCTATAAAGGGTAAGCCTTGCATCTCTTTTGCTATTGCACTATTTCTGGTTTCCATAAATAGAAACACTTAATAGTTCTAGCAAAGCCACCAGGTCATCACTATTATGATATTAAAGTAATACCACACCACAGTATCCCTAGGATGACTCTCATCAAGTTGTGATGTCACCATGACGTGAACTCACCAAGGAATCTTAGATATCAAGTGGCTCCCACGGCATCACACCCTGCCGTTGGCATCACCCTGGCACATCACCTTACTATGGTGTCATATGCTAACACTGCTGTGACAGAATCCTGCCCTGATGCCACTCCGCCGAGATGTCAGAGTATTTACCTCCTACTTCTTTCCACTCCCCTGGCAGTGGAAGAGAGGGGGAGGGTAGCCACAATCATCTGTAGGAGCTCAGGAGGTAGTTCCCAGCTCCAACCGTTGTCCCTTCCGCCTAGCACTGCAGGTCAGGGCCCCCGGGGGATAGAACCTTTAGGGTCCCATACCTCTCTTGCCCTGACCCCACACCCGTTCTGTGTGGCCGACTCAATGGGCAACCACCCACCCCGGCTCTTCCACAGTATTCCTCATGAAGCAGTTCCCCGTACCTGACTCCATTCTCCAGCTGTCATCCTGGGCCAATTCCACCGGCCACTTGACTACGGCGGCCGCAAGGGACCCTGGGACTTGTAGTTCAGCGCTGCCAAGTTAGAGAGTCGGTTGGGGAGGAAAGGCAACTCCCCTACCCGGAACTGCTCCCAAACTCCAACTCCCAGAGGCTCCCAAACAAGGGAAAAGAGAACGAGAAAGATTATTGGTTGGTGGGGATCTACGGGCTCTTTTGATTGGCTCCAGAGCCAACGACTGAGGCGGTCCTTGGTCCGGCTTGACGGAGAGCCTGAAGAAAGCGAGATGGAGGCGCATGTGTCTAACCTAACGGCCTGCAACCTGGCCTACAATGGGAAGCTGGAGGAGTTAAAGGAGAAGATTCTGGCCGATAGATCCCTGGCGACTACAACTGACCAGGTAAAGCAGCGCCTCTTCCCAGGCGGTGGCGGCGGCCAACCCCTACGTGACTTCCCAAGCCCTGCCCAACCCCGCCGCCTCATCCTTACACCCGCTATATTCAGGTCTCAGAACCGGGCCGCGGGGGCTAGCCCCACAGGCCTTGGATACTTTTTTGCCCAGTACTGAGCTCTTTAAGTTTTGGATATTTCTAGAACGTCTACCGACTTGCCCAGCAATGCACCCATCTTTGAGGTAACCGGGAGGAGGAAAGCTGTTAATGTGGGTTTCTTTGCCTTCACTAACAATTTTATCTGACTAAACCACGTGTAACTGAAAGCCTCTTCTGTGGCAGGCAATTGGCTATGCACTGGAGGTGCGGTTGAATGGAAGAAGCAGACATGAATAAAACAATCACAAAGACATATGTACGGTTACAAATTGTGGTAGATGCTCGGGAGAGAAGTTTACGTGGTGCTTCCAGCACATGTAATGGAAGGACTTGATTTAATTTCTCTTGTGAGAGCTGAATATTGTCGTAACTGGAAAAGGCGTGGCGAAGGGAAGGGTTGGAACTAGGAGGGATGAGTGGGATTTCCAGGTGGGCTGAACAGGCGTTCTAAACAGAGACGGAAGAAAAGTGAAAGGACATTTGAGAAGTGTTTCTTTCTGCTCAAAGGACCCTCACGTTTTCTCCCAGAGTTTCTAGAAAGATTTGCCATGCGCATAGTAAGCCAACAAACATTTAAAGATGCCTCCTATTTGACAGGAATCGTTCCGAGCACTAGGGAGACAGTGTTAACTGCTTACTTTATTTTATGATTTTTTGAATGGCCATTAGAAATCAATAAAGTGTTATTCTTTGCTGGAACTTAACTCTATTACTCAACCTGAAAATGGCCCCACCATTACTTGGTTGACTTTCATTATGTTCTGGTGATATTTAATAATTATTTACTGTTACTGAAAATTTAACGATTCTTCATCAAGTCAATGGCAAAAAAAGGGGGGTGCTGTTCAAGATCATGCAAGAGACTTAAGAAACAAAATCAAATGCAATTTATGGACTTTGTTTGAATCCTGATTTAAGGAAAACAACTGCAAAAAGATGGGGAACAGTTGAAGACATTTGAATACAGACTGAGTATTGGATGTTAGAAAGGAGTTATGTTCATTTTAATAGGTGTAACAAAGATCTGGTAGTTAAGTAAGAAAGCATCTTTTTCAGAGATGTGCACTGAAATATTTAGGGGTAAAGAGTCATGATCTTTGGAATATATTTAAAAAAAATCTCAGCAAAGGAAAAAAAGTAGATGAAGCAAATATGGCAGAATATCAGTTATTAAATCTGTGACAGGCATTTGGGTTCCTACTATATTCCTTCATTTTTATGTGTTTGGAATTTATTGTAATAAAGTTTAAAATGCCATTTTTATAAAAATACAAGTTTGACTAAGAAATATAATAAACGAAAATGAAACTCACTGCCATTGTGTGGATTCTAACTCATAGACCCCCATTGGGTTTCCAAGGCGGTGAATCTTTATAGAAGTAGATTGCCTGTCTTCCTTCCACATAGTGGCTGGGAGGTTTGAACCACCAGCCTCTCGTTAGCAGTCAAATGCCTTAGGTTCTACGCCACCAGGGCTTTTATGTATATATATGTATGTATATATTTTAATAGGTTTTATGAACATTTCCTCCCCATAAATTCATGTTCTTTCTAGAACATCTAACTTGGAGGTCAGTATTGTTGTTATATGCCATCGAGTCATACCCGACTAATAGTGACCCCTCCTTGGGTTTCTGAGGTGGTATCACTACAGAAGTAGATTGCCCCATCTTCCTTCCAAGGAGTGGCTGGTGGGTGGAGGTCAGTATGGTAGTAGAAATTTCAGAGTCTGACAGGTTTGTAGCCAAACTGTACCTCTTACTACCTCTGTGACTGGACAAGTTGCTTACCCTGAGGAGTCTTAGTTTCCTCATCTGTAAAATGGGAATAATATCCACTGTATAGGGTGGGAATTAAATGAGACAGTGTATGTAAAACTTCTAACACAGTGCCTGACATGTTTAGTCCCCTTCTTTTCTTTTGATAATGATAGTACTCATAGTCACAAAAATTACATTATTTAAAAGTACATAAATAATGTAATAGTAAACAGCCAAATTCTATCTCCCAGAGCATTGAAATCGATTTCTGCTTCTACTGCTTTCATTGCTGTATATTGCCCAGAGTTGATTGATGTAATCCCCCTATGTTACTAAAACCTAGAAATCAGGGTTTTTGGGGTTTTTTTTTTCTCCTCTTTTCTAGTGCTTTTAATAGAAAAGGAAAAAAAAAAAAAACCCAAAACCCTGATTTCTAGGTTGTTTTGTTTTGTTTTGTTTTCCTTTTCTAGTGCTTTCAGTGGGAGCTCTGGTAGCATAGTGGCTAAGACACTTGCCTGCTAACCAGACGGCTGGCGGTTCAAACCCACCAGCCACTCCTTGGAAGGAAGGTTGGGCAATCCTACTTCCGTAGTGATACTGCCTCGGAAACCCAAGGAGGGGTCGCTATGAGTCGGGTTTGACTCGAAGGCACATGACAACAACAGCAACAACAGTGCTTTTAATACTCAAACTGAAAATAGGCCCCACCTTTACCTAGTTTACTTTCCTTATGGTCTGGTAATACTAAATAATTATTTACTATTGAGATTTAATAGGACTTGGTCTCTCTTATACTAGTAAGTAATACAATTAAAGGCTTCCTACCTGAGGATCCAGTGTTCTCCATTTCTTATTTCCAAACTACAGAATGTATAGGCCCAGTATTGACTTTTCTGCTTTCTCGCCTTAGTTCTATTTCTCTTCAAGAATGTTGATCTTATTGCTTCTCTGTTTCCTGTGTAGGATAGCAGAGCTCCTTTGCATTGGGCGTGCTCAGCAGGACATACAGAAATAGTTGAATTCTTACTGCAACTTGGAGTGCCAGTGAATGATAAAGATGATGTAAGTACTAGGCAGAATTGATAAATTCCCAGTTATCTTTAGACTCCAGGCTGGTGTTTACTGAAGCCTGAGTTATTTGTTTAGTTCATAAACGTAATTGTAACCTTTATGACTGGGCAATTACAGCATGGCCTTGGTGACCAACACAGGATTAGTGGCCACATTATTTTAGAATGTTAGTTTTGCCACTCTATGATTTATGATAAACCATATACCTTCTCTGTGCCTCATTTCCCCTAGCCAAAATATACAGAAACTGATTTCTAATAGAGATCAAGGCCTATTACAGTGACCTTTGAGAGAATATAAACCCTTTTTATTATGTTGGGTTTTTTTTTTTTTTTTAAAGTGAGTACTGCCTGAATAATGAGACCCTAGATACCTTTTTGTTGTATAGAGAGATTCATGTAATGGTATTGGTCATATTAGAATTAAACTTGTGAAGAATAAGGATGGAACACCTTTTGTAGGTAAGGATACCTTTTGGAGTCTGGTCACTGAAGTAATAATTATAATAGCAAAGAAACGAAAGTAATTTAATGGAAGAATAGTTGAATACAGTAACATATATACATATGATAAAATAATATAATATACAACCAATAAAGTTATGTTTTCAAAGAATGAAATGGAACAATGTTCACAAGACAATGAGTGGAAAATGAAGCTCACAAACTTCAGATCACATGATCCCAATTTTTATTTTAAAAGAAATAATAGGTGGAAGAAAACACATTAAAATTAGAATTACATATATTTATCTTGGTGTTAAGGAGTTACCGATTTTTTTCTTTTTTTATATTCTGGTTCCAAATTTTCTGTAGTGCTTAATGAGGAAAAAATGAAGAATGTTATTTTTTAAAAGCCATTTGCACAAAGCTCTTTCACAGGCTATAAATATTGTCTGCCTATAATATTATCATTAATAACTGTGACTTTTTTCCCCTGGGTTTTGTACTACCCACCTCTTACAGGCCGGCTGGTCTCCTCTTCATATTGCTGCTTCTGCTGGCCGTGATGAGATTGTAAAAGCCCTTCTGGGAAGAGGTGCTCAAGTGAATGCTGTCAATCACAATGGCTGTACCCCCCTGCATTATGCAGCTTCCAAAAATAGACATGAGGTATGGTCCCATTCCTAGGTTACTTCTTTTGAGATAGAAGCATATACGCAAACACAAATCGATGTTTGCATTTATTTTCTTTTACTTTCCAGATTGCTGTCATGTTACTGGATGGTGGGGCTAATCCCGATGCTAAGGACCATCTTGATGCTACAGCATTGCACCGGGCAGCAGCCAAGGGTAACTTGAGGATGATTCATATTCTTCTGTACTACAAAGCATCCACAAATATCCAAGACACTGAGGGTAACACTCCTCTGTAAGTGACAAGTAGCAGTCATTCATATATATTCTACCTGATACTAGCTCTTAGCAATAATTCTTATACATGATTTATTTTTTATTATACTCACAAATGTAATACATGTTTATGGCAAAAAAATTTTAGAAAGTATGCAAAAGTATAAAGATAAAAATTGCCTATCATCTTGCTACCCAGAAATAGCCACTGATAACACCTTTGTATATTTTCCCCTGACTTTTGTATACAAATGTATATATTTTACAGTTATATATACTTTTTCTTAAAAACAAAATTTTGATCATACTGTGTATTTAGTCTTATATTCTTATATCTTGTTCTTTTCACCTAGTGATATACTGTAAGCATTTTCTAATGCCATTGGTTGGTGGTTGGTTCTGTGCTGTCGGGTCGGACCCGACTCATAGCAATCCCTCCTTGAGTTTCTGAGGTGGTATCACTTTGGAAGTAGATTGCCCAGCCTTCCTTTCAGAGTGGCTGGTGGGTTTGAACCGCTAGCCTTCTGGTTAGCAGTCAAGTGCCTTAGGCACTATGCTACCAGAGCTCCTA